AACTCTCTTTAACAATTATCACAATGAATGTTTCAAGATACTAAGCATGATGAAAAATAGATGAACACTCATACAAAAAGAAGAAAAAAATGAAACTAAAATAGGGAATGAATTAAAAAATACACATTTTTTCTTTACCATGTATGTGACAAGAAATATATACAGCTGTATTACTGATAAGGAATTATATCCATACGAAACCTCTATTAAAATCAGTTCATGTATGATCTGACTATTGAATTAAAAAATTGAAGTTTTTAAAAGCAAAATTTTTTCTGCATACACAAATTCAAACTAAATGTATTAAAGTCCTTATAAACAAATCATAGGAACAAGAAACAATAACAAAACAAAGGTGAAATTGTTCTCTAATTTTCACATATAAAGACCCTCATAACATGAAAAAAAATCAGCATATCACATTCATCTGATTATGATCATATCATTAAACATCTTTAAACACAATTCTGTTAAGCATATTAGATATACTAAAGTATTAAATGGTAAAAGTCTATTTATTATATAAAGCTATAGTGGCTTTGTCAGCCATACTCAAATATTTAAAACCAAATTACATGTACTGTGGCTTCCTCAGCAAAAGACAAAAATTATTATCTGGAAAAATGAGTTACAGAGAAAAAGAGAGAAAAGAAAGAGAGCTTTGGGCTTGGAGATTTCTGTACTTAGTAGAAACACCAACTGACCTGAAATTTTAAAAGATTAAAATATGTAGATAAAAAGAAGAAAAAAAGAAGAAATTAAATAGAAGGAAGAAGAGTGGAAGATGAGACAGGAAGGGAGATCAGAGAGGAGAAGGTTCATACAGAAAAGAACAATTCAAAACTGTTGAATCTTGTCAAAGTTCTCTACCATTACAATCACAAGCAGACACTTCAGACTACAAGAAATCGGAGCACAGATGGAAAAAGGCAAAGACATATGTTAAAACTCAAACAGAAAAATATGCAAGATAACAAAAAACATCAACAATAAAATGATACACTAATAAAATACTGTAATGCTAAATTAATAAATTGTTATTCATGTGTCTGTCTCCTGTATCTTCTTAATTAAATGCAAATGTGATATATTCAATGGCAATTCTACATTTTCATAATCACAGTTTAAAAATATGATGAACCAAAGAGCAAGAAAAAGTTGTTATAAACTGGAGGAACAAGCAAATAGAAAGAACGAAAAGAAAAGAAAAAAGAGAGAACAGCTGTCTATTTTCAAAAGTGCAGATGAACAATACCAGTCAGATAAAAAACATGAAAACCAAACAATTAAAAACTTGGCAATCCATCTTGACTTTTGAGGATACCACTACTACACTCAGAGAAGAGCAGGCAAGGAGTACCAGGTACCAACTAATAGGGTATCAGTTATCAGGGGTTACTACAGTACTGGAGAATATGGAGGAAGACTGAAAACCTCATAGAATTACCTGCCCCTCCAACTTAGTAAGTTTGATGCAGTAAAGCTTTTATTTCAGGAAGGGGGAGGGAGAGAGAGAGAAAAGGAGGGAAAAAATAGGAATAGCTTAGATATATTTATAAGATTTCATATTTTTGAAGAAAGAGAGATTTTGTTAGAATATATTTAATATGCACTTTGTCAGACTACTTAGTTTTCAAGGAAAGTAAGAAACATTTTTTTTTTCAGTACCAAAAACATGAACATGAAATCAAATCAAATTCATGAAATTAATCATTAGGTAAAAAATAAATAAATAACAGTAAAATCACAATTGTAAAACAACGTATCTCATCCTGACATCCCTACTTGAGCAAAAATTATATTGAGTCTAAACACCTTTTACTTCAAAAGCAAAGCAAAAGCAAAAGAAAAACGACACTTCCACCCACACACCTTTGTGACTCCTTGCACTTGAGCTTGACTTCAACTTGACGTGGTCTGCCAGTCAGGTCGCAGGTTGTGCCCCCAGAGTAGAAGTGTGACACATACCTCCTGCCAGGTTTGTAAACCTTCTCTGGGTGCTGGAAAAGAAGTGATGTCAATTTGACATGAGAAAGCCTTCTAAATTCTCCTTTTTCCTTCCCTGTATTCTCAAATTTCATCCCTTACTTGTTACCAGCCTGCCAAAATGAGCCCCTAATCAGTTCTTTCTTCTAATCGGTTTTCATTCTTAATAATTTTTTCTTAAAATGGCCTAGAAACATTGCACAAAGCAGTAACTGGATGCTGAACACCAGGAAGAACTTTAACTGCAAAATTTGGTCACCTCTCTCTCTCTCTCTCTCTCTCTCTCTCTCTCTCTCTCTCTCTCTCTCTCTCTCTCTCTCACACACACACACACACACACACACACACACACACACACACACACACCACACACACACACACACACACACACACCACCCGCAAGCACGCACACGCACATGCACACACACGCACATGCACACACACACACATACACACACCCGCAAGCACGCACACACACGCACACACCCGCAAAGCACGCACGATGCACATGCAC